CCCCCAGCCGCCAGAGGCTTTCGCCGTCCGTTCTCGGGCCGGAGGGTGGGTGCCGCCATACTTGGCGACACCAACGACCCTCCCCCAAGCGCTCCATGGGGTGCGGGGGGGGGGTATGCTCCCTCCGGCCGTTCCGTCTCATAGCCGCGCAGCGCGAGACCCCACGCCGCGCGGCCCATTCCCCCTTGGGAAGGGGCGGGGCCGGTTCGCCACCCGGTCACCCGCCCCTTATGTCTTTGGTCCCGGCCGGCTTACAGGGGGGAGGAGCAGGCTTGTGTCGGCCCCCTCCCCCCTTGCGGTCAGACCCTCCTATCCCTAGAGAGGGGGGAGAAGCTGCGAGTGCGCCCCGAAGGAGGGGCGCTCATCGTCGCTACCCTGCCCCCTCTCCCTCGCCAGCCGCTCCAGGCGCCGCCGCCGAGTCTTGGCGGCACCTGTCGCGGACGGAGGGACTGGAGCCGCCGCCTGCGGGCTTCTAGTGCCCTAGCAGCGGCGGCCTCCCTCCTCTGGCCCCTTTCTTCGCGTCGCCTCCTCCGCTGGGGAGGCGGCCCGACGGGTGCAGCCGGCGCGGCTCCTGGGGAGGGTAGAATACCCTTCCCGCCACGCCGACTTGCGCCCTCCTTCCCGGTGTCGGTACACCCCGACACTGGTGTGCCGACCGAGGGCGTGGGGCGCGGTGAATTCGCCGCCCCCCCACAACCATTTCCCCCCGTCTGGCCCTCTCCTGCTCCTCCTTCTGCGACATAACTTCTTCGCAGAAAGAGGTGACAGCTGACCAGGCCTCTCGCCCCCCTAACATGGCCCTGATAAGGGCCGGGGGCGAGAGGTCCGCTCCCACCACGCTTGTGAGGACACGGCGCTGTCCCTCCCACGCCGGGAATTCGCCTAGCGTATGTTGCGCCGTGTCCTCAGCCGCATCGCAATGGTGGCAGCGGCTGGTGCACTCCTTCCGGACGACCCTATACAGGTACTCACCGAAGCAGCCATGGCCGGTGAGCACCTGGGTCGTCCGGAACGTGAGATCTCCGTGTGCCCTGCCTACCCACTCCTGCAGGCAGGGCCGGATGGCATCGGCGACCCTCTTCCCGGAGCGGCCCGTCGCCTCCTCCAGCTGCATCTTCCAGCGGAGGAGGAGGCGTTGTCGGGCCTGCTCCCTAGCGAGGGCTATGGCCCTGGCCAGTTCCTTCCCATTGTTGGTCCCCCGGCGGAGCTCCCCAGTACGCCGATAGTTTTCGGCGTACATCATAGCGAGGAGCTCCACCGGGGGGATTCCTGCCAGGGCCGTGGCGGCCGCGTGCGACGTGGTCCTATAGGCCCGGGCGAGGCGAGTGGCCATAAACCTTTGGGCCCGGCGGACCATTTGTTGGATCCGCCGGGACCCGGCCATCTCCCCCGCCCAGATCGGGGCCCCGTATAGGGCCACCAAATGGACCACGTTCGCAAACAGCCGCCTAGCCCGCCTTTTTGGGCCGCCGACGTTGGGCAGGAGGGCACCCAGCGCACCCGCCATCCTGCCCAGCTTGGAAGTTAACACCTCAAAATGTTTCTCAAACCCTCAAGCGTCATCCAGGGTGAGCCCGAGATACTTCATCTCGGTACCCACCCTCACGGAGATTCCGCCGATCCGGAGCTTTAATCGAGGTGGTCTCCCCCTACTCCCGTCATGGAAGAACAAGGTTTCCGTTTTCGGAGGAGACACCTCGAGACCCATGCTCCGGATGGAGTGCACCACCTGGTCGAGGGCCAGCTGCCCCATGTCCCTGGCCTGTTTCCAGCCCCGCCCCCCGGCCACCACTAATGTGTCCTCCGCATAGCAGACAACGTGGCAGCCAGGGGGGAGGGCGGTCCGGAGAACCTGGTCGTATGCGATGTTCCACAGAGGAGGGCCGATTACTGACCCCTGCGGAACACCGCAATTACACCCCCCTTCCACATTGGAGTTCCGCTTTATTGCGGAACTCCAAGCGCTTGTCCCGGAAGTAGTCTCTAGTTATGTGGAATAGGTAGGACGGGAACCCAAAGTGGGCCATTCCCGCCTCTACCCGGTGCCAGGGGAGGGTATTAAAGGCGTTGGCTATATCAATTGATACAGTTTCCCCTCCCTCACGATGGCCTCCGAGAGGGACCTGACGCGCTTGATCGCGTCCACGGTCGATCGGCCTCCTCGGAAGCCATACTGCTCGTCGCTGAGCGCGGGACCATTCCGGGACAGGTGCCGGAAGAGGCGGGCTTGTATGATTCTTTCGAACATTTTGCCCGCCTCGTCCAACAGACACAGAGGTCTGTATGCGGAAGGGGTGTCCTCCGGTTTGCCCTCCTTGCGTAAGAGGATTAGTCTGGCCCTCTTCCACGGGGCCGAAAACAGGCCAGCCCCGAGGCAGAGGGAGAAAATCCGCCTAAGGCGGCCCCCCAGCCTCCCTTCTTCGGCCAAGGCCAGGGCCCATATTCGGCCCGGGATGCCGTCAGGGCCCGGCGCCTTTCCCT